AGTGAGCCTTTCCCCCCCCCCCCCCCCGTCCGTCAGTGAGCCTTTCCCTCCCCCCCCCCCCCCCCCTCAGTGAGCCTTCCCTCCCCCCCCCCCCCCCCACCTCCGTCAGTGAGCCTTCCCTCCCCCCCCCCCACCTCCGTCAGTGAGCCTTCCTTCCGCCACCCCCACCTCCGTCAGTGAGCCTTCCCTCCCCCCCCCCACCTCCGTCAGTGAGCCTTCCCTCCCCTCCATCAATGAGCCTTCCCTCCCCTCCATCAATGAGCCTTCCCTCCCCCCCACCTCCATCAATGAGTCCTCCCTACCCCCAACCCCCATCATTGAGCCTCCCACCACCACCTCCATCAGTGAGTCCCCCCAATGTGTCAATGTCCGACCCTGTGATGCGATTCCCTTCCTTGGGCCTCTCCCAGTCGGTATCACGGAACACAGTGATCAGACAGAACATAGACAGTCCAAGGTGAGCCGACCTCCCCGAGCGGCTCCATGTTCCTGGGACTAGAGACAGAAATATTAGGTCCCAGGTCCATGGGCAGAGCCCACCACCCTTCACTACTGACCGTCCCCAATGGGAGCTGTGCGGGGGGAGCCTAAAACAGTGTCCTGTCTATCAATCTACCGCACATCACCGCCAGGCCCCTCCCCTGGGACACCTCCCAACCAGGCCCCTCCCCCTTGGCCACCTCCCGCCCGTCACAGCCAGGCCGCTCCCCCTTGGCCACCTCCCGCCGTCACAGTCAGGCCGCTCCCCCTTGGCCACCTCCCGCCCGTCACAGCCAGGCCGCTCCCCCTTGGCCACCTCCCGCCCGTCACAGCCAGGCCGCTCCCCCTTGGCCACCTCCCGCCCGTCACAGCCAGGCCGCTCCCCCTTGGCCACCTCCCGCCCGTCACAACCAAGCCACCTCCCGCCCATTACAACCAGCCACTCCACCGGGACACCTCCAGCCCATCACAGCCAGGCCACACCCATATTGAACACGTCACCATTTTCTCTGTAAATATATTTGTAAAGCTGCCATTGCCATGAAATGTTACCCACGCAGGCCACCGGCCCGCGCCGTCCACCCACCCACGCAGGCCACCGGCCCGCGCCGTCCACCCACCCACGCAGGCCACCGGCCCGCGCCGTCCACCCACCCACGCAGGCCACCGGCCCGCGCCGTCCACCCACGCAGGCCACCGGCCCGCGCCGTCCACCCACGCAGGCCACCGGCCCGCGCCGTCCACCCACGCAGGCCACCGGCCCGCGCCGTCCACCCACGCAGGCCACCGGCCCGCGCCGTCCACCCACGCAGGCCACCGGCCCGCGCCGTCCACCCACGCAGGCCACCGGCCCGCGCCGTCCACGTCCACCCACGCAGGCCACCGGCCCGCGCCGTCCACACATACATACAAAAACTAGATCAGAAATGATGTTCTGTGTAATAAAACGGAATGACGGGGAAAAGTATTGAACACATGAAGGTGCAAAGCGGCATGGGAAGCCAAGACACCGGCTGAAATCGGTCATTAGAAAGCAATCCTGCCCCTTTGCAGGGCAAACTAATACCAGCCGGTTCAGTCTCAACTGATGGCCTACAAAAAGGTGTCTCATTACCAAGGTGTCACACAAGAAACATCTCATGATGGGTAAAAGCAAAGAGCTCTCTCCAGACCTTCACAATCTTACTGCAAAACATACTGATGGGATTGGTTACAGGAGGATTTCTAAACTTCTGAATGTTCCAGTGAGCACTGTTGGGGTCATAACCCAAAAGTGGAAAGACCATCATTTCACCACAAAATGGCCACGCCCAGGAGCTCCTCACAGACAGGAGGAGTGAAAAGAATTATCAGAAGAATTGTCCAAGAGCCAAGGACCACTTGTGGAGAGCCTCAAAAAGCCCTGGAATTAGACAGCACAAAATGTAATGCACTCGCCGCCATGGCCTGTATGCACGTCATCACGCAAGACTCCATCGCTGAAGACGAAGCATGCAGAAGGTCGGCTAATATTTGCTGCACAACTTTCAGACAAGCCCGAGAAATAACGGGAGAATGTAGTCTGGTCAGAGGAGACCAAAATGGAACTCTTTGGAGGCCATAATACACCCCATGCTTGGAGGTCACATGGCACTGCACATCACACCCAAAACACCAGACCAACTGTGAAGTATGGAGGTGGGATCATCAAGGTGAGGGGCTGGTTTCAGGCAAAGTTCATATCATTGAAGGAAAGATGAATGGGAAAATGGACCAAGACATTCCCGATGTATCTGCCGCCCTCTCCCAGGACGATGAAAATGGAACGAGGGCAAACATTCCCGATACATATGTGCCGCCCTCTCCCAAGACGATGACGACGGAACGAGGGCGAACATTCCCGATACATATCTGCTGCCCTCTCCCAGGACAATGAAGATGGAACGAGGGCAAACATTCCCGATACATATCTGCTGCCCTCTCCCAGGACGAGGACGATGGAACGAGGGCGACCATTCCACCAAGACATTCCCGATACATATGTGCCGCCCTCTCCCAGGACGAGGACGATGGAACGAGGGGGAACATTCCCGATACGTATCTGCCGCCATCTCCCAGGACGATGACGATGGAATGAGGGGAACAATCCACCAAGACATTCCTGATACGTATCTGCCGCCCTCTCCCAGGACGATGGAACGAGGGCGGACATTCCCGATACATATCTGCTGCCCTCTCTCCCAGGACGATGGAACGAGGGCGACCATTCCACCAAGACATTCCTGATACGTATCTGCTGCCCTCTC